TAGCTTTTTTCCCCAAAACTTTGTTTTCAAAATAAGGGTGCGTCTTATGTTCCGAAAAATACGGTAGTTCTTCAAATGGTTTACATTCAATTGAGACTTGAAAACAAATTTAACAAAACTTTTAGTTCTAAATGATACTGTACAATAATTCTGTTTAATTATTATACAACAATTCAACTACACAATGAACTGGTATAAAATAAACTTACTGTATATTACTTTCTTATGAATTGTAATGTAATTTAATTTTATTGCATTTATAGCAACATTAATTATTTTTCTTTCTTTAAATGACTTGACTTACTAACATCATCATCATAATAAAATAACATACTGCCGTGTACAGAATTTAGTGAAAAAACCACAGCAAATGGAACAAACTGTCAGTTTCATCATACTTGTGCATCCTCTTCAGTATCACAGTGTCTTCTGGCAGGAAAAACTGGTCAAGGGAATTCCAAGATCAAGGGTCACGTCGGTATTTGTTGATCAGTTTTTTCCTGTCAGAAGACAACGAGAAACTGAAGAGGCCACACACGTGTCAAAACTAGTTTCTCCAATATCAGAATTCTGACAGTTTGTTCCGTTTATTGTGTTTTTTTTAACTAATAACATCATCTTAATGCATACTTCAACATTTTAGCAAGTGTAGTTTGATTAATATTTTATTTATTTATTTTTCTTTATGTTCATGCCAGTTTTTATAATAATATTCAGATTTTTATCTGAACAGGCCCACTTTCATGAAAGATCAAATTAAAGTTTAAAGAGATGATACCATAATTTAAAATATTTAAGCTGAATGACTGGGTCTAAACATGTTAAAAATATATTTTGTTCTAGTTAACGACACAAATAATCAGTTAGATAGCATTTTATAGATAATTTATTTATACTTCTGGGATTTCTTTATTCCCTGTTAATTACTGGGTGTCAAATTTAGATAAAGCTTTAGAACTTGTATAGCAAGTTCTGCCTTCCCTCGAGTATCAGTAGCCCTGATTTGAATCTACATTTAAAATTCAAAATTCACCTGTCCTAAAAAAATTAATGATTTTATGAAATACAAAAAAAAAAAAGACAAATTGTAGTTTACTTTTTTTTGAAGAATTAAAATGTATTACAAATTCAATAATATGCTATAAAATTGTTTTTTAAAAGCTTGAGCACATCAGGTGATATAGTTTTCTCGTTTCTCTAACTTTATTGTTTACTTAACCCTATTGCCACAGGTCACAGATCAAAGGCCATGTCATCAAATCTATTGATTTGCATACAAAATTTTATTGAACTACTATTTTATGAATTTATGTCAGTAAGTTTGGTATCAAATTGTAGATTATAATT